ATTTATATATTTATTTATATATTTATTTTTATATACTTATTTGTATATATATTTATATATTTATTTGTATATATACTGTATTATTATTTTATATTTATTTATATATTTGTTTATATAGTTATTTGTATATTTATTTATATATATATATTTATTTGTATATGTATTTATATATATTTATATATTTATTTATATAATTATTCAATTTTTAAAATATATTCTTTGTATATATATATATATATATTTATATATATTAATATGTTCATATATTTGTATATATATATTATATTTATATATTTATTTGTATATTTATTCGAATCGTCAATCCGAAAGTATGCAGCGCTGATAGATGTTGTTAAAATACAGATATACAGATACTTACATACATACAGATATATATCTATATATATTGTATTTATTTATATATTTATTTACTTATATATATATTATTTTATATATACTGCATTTATTTATATATTTTTATATTTATTTGTATATTTATATATATATTTATTTGTAAATTCAATTATATATATATGTCTATATTTATAATACATTTATTTATATATTTATTTATATATATACTGTATTATTATTTTATATTTATTTATGTATTTGTTTATATAGTTATTTGTATATTTATTTATATATATATTTATTTGTATATGTATTTATATATATTTATATATTTATTTATATAATTATTCAATTTTTTAAATATATTCTTTGTATATTTATTTGTATATTTATATTTATATATTTATATATTTTAATATGTTCATATATTTATTTATATATATATATTATATTTATATATTTATTTATATATACTGTATTATTATTTCATATATACTGTAATTATTTATATATTCATTTATATATTTATTTATATATTTATTTGTATATTTATTTATATATATTTATGTATTTATATATTTATATGTTTATATATTTATTTGTTTGTATATTTATTTGTATATTTATTTATATTGTATATATATATTTATTTGTATATTCATTTATATATTTATATATATTTATATGTTTATAAATTTATTTATATATTTATATTTTATTCAAAATATTTTTGTTTCATTAATAATCAGATGCTTTGGTCTCCTATACGCCTACAAGGAAGTAATAGCCTAGATATTATTATAGTTCTAAATATGTATTCTATATTACTTTATTGCGCTTACAGTATTATTATTTTTATTACTAATAATAATAATAATAATAATAATTAGGGATAATAATAATTATGTTGACTTACTTGTAGCATTCAGCACTTTGAAACACTAGTATGCATCTGATCGAAAACTTGCAATGGTGGCTTGCATGGGCGGAGATCATTGGTCATGGGGTGGGGAGAAAGCATGTTCTCCCTCCCACATTTTATGATGGATGGTACCCCCACTTTTTTACCACAATATAATTTCATGTCAAGAAAATTGTTGAAATGAATGCATTATGACCGGTAAGGGCGTTTGCAGCAGTGCCGTTAAAATCATTAGCTTACTGTACTAATTTTGTAAAATACTGTA